CCCCAAAACCCCAAAACCCCAAAACCCCGCACAAATGATCTTAGATTGAATTTAGACAAATTGGCGGATGCCTTCTTCCAGAGTCTTCTTCATATATTCAGTGAACTTTGTTTGGTTTGTGGAGTCGCAGCCTAATAAGTATCTTTCCTGGATCGAGTTCTTTCATAATTTCAGATCTATGAAAATTAAGAATATTGAGGGTTAACCTCTAATGATGTCTTATAAACAAAAGAGGAGTCAGTTACCTTTAGTGTTTATTAAAGCTTTGACATTTGGGGCGTCTTCTTTTTCAATTTTCTTGTCAATATTCACTCTGAGCTTTTCTACATCAATGGTTGTGAGGCTTAGTGTTTCCAGCCCTTTTACAACGGTATCAAATTTGTCCAACTCAGCTTGAGCTTGGGCGTTGAGTGATTTTTCTAATAAAAAATTATCTTTCAGATTTCTTGTATCTTCATCAATTTTCTTGAAGATTTTGTCTTTGAACTCTTGGACATAAATATCCAGAAAGTTCTGACTGATGTCTATGAGCTCTGAATGCTCTTGTATTGATGCTTGAAGTAGGTTTGTCCTTTTCTAGCTCCTTTCAATACTTATTGGACTCTAGTATTTTAGCTTTGATCTCAGGATTTTCTTCAATATCTCAGACTTCATGACCTGAACGTACAGACTCTTCAATGCACTGCAAACAGAAGAAACACGAGCAGGTCTCTCAGAATAGTTTACCAGTCATATCATGATCTTGTCACTTTTTGATGAGTTTGCTTTTGTCTTGGGAATCAAAAATTCCCAGATAGTGTTTGATTTGTTCAACCATGAGATATCTGACTAAATCTTGCTTTTTGACTCAATTCCTGTAGAGAAAACATTTGGACCTTTGTTAAAGACTGTATCCCATCAAGAGCTGCATGCATTATTGCCACAGAACCTTCAGATCATTAAAGGTTCAGATTAGCTCGACAATCATATTGATCAGGTTAGAATTTTTTAATCCTGATCTTTATCTTGAAATGACAATTCACTCCATTAATGAAAATCTTCCGACTGAGCTAGATAGGTTATCCTCCTAAAGTAATGATTAATCGTCTTAAGCTTGAAATGTATTAAGATATACCTGAGAAATATGCTTTGTGAAATTAAGTTAAAACCAGCATGTTTATCTTTTCTTTCTCATCTAGGCTTTTAATTTTTTATCAAACAGAGAAATTATCAGGATGAAAGAAATATTCAATTATGTACTCTATAATCTTTCAAGACTGGCCATATATTTAGACTTCCTTATTGTTATGATGATATTGATGCTCTTGGCCATCTATCCCACGATAGCTTCTTGCCGAAGGGAATGATGAAGCATAACCTTCTCTCCGGTTGGTTGACGTCCTACTTTTATGTGGCTCTTCACTTAAAATTTCATCAACCTATTCCGAGTTTTCCATTAGCTCTAATCTTTGTTGTTCAAATGGTCTCACTTTTTTAATTTATACTTAATTTCATTTGTCTTTAATCTCAGTGGGGTTTTGGGGTTTTGGGGTTTTGGGG